GAAACCTCCCAGATATCCTCACTCTGAAACCAGGCATACTGAATTTGTTTTCCTTTTAAGCCGAAGTTGTAATATTTTGTAGATCTGTGGGAGAGCAACAGCCTGCATTTAGCCCCTCTCATGAGCCTCAGCTGACTTTGTTCACGATGATGACATCGCTCTGAGCAAGAGATGCGCAAAGGAGGCACAAAATCTGAATATCTATGATGAAAATGATTTCAAGTTCAAAGGCTCACTCTCAGACTAATAGTTGTATGGAAATGGCACATGCTTAACTAATGTGAGGCACGATTAGAAGGGCACACTAACATACTTGTGAGGTTTGTGTTTACGCTGGCCTCGCAGGTGCTGCAAAGCTCTTGGCCACAGAGGAGTGTTTGTTTTGCTCTCGTCTTTATTCTCGCATCTGTTGTAATTACGTTTAATCACGATCATGTTTAAAGAGTTTTTTGCAGTCTGCCCTGCGGTTGTGTGCTGTCAGGCCACAGCACATTCATTCGGTGTGCACAGGGAGGCCAGCTAAGAGTTAAAATTCTGCAAGTTTGCACCCCTGTCACATGGGCCAATGTGCTTCAAAATGAGAAACACAACTGTCTCGCTATAAAGTAGATTGAGGATTCTGGTATGCATTACTATCCTCCGCAGCTTCTTGCTTTAATCTCATCATTACGAGATCCTGAAGTTTTAAACTGTAGCTTCAAATAAATAAAATTGTTACATCTGCTTTGTTCTTGATTTAGAAAAGAAACGATACGAACATGTCTCGAATGAGAGCTTCAGATCAGCTTGTTGCTTGGCTTGATTCAGCAGAGGCTCCCGCTGACAGACATGTGGCAGAACGACACAGCATGATGCACTAAAGCTGCAGCCTTAAGAGCTTGCTATGTCATCATAAGGACTGCAAATAAAACTAGTATAGTGCCAAATCACAACAACAGTCACCTCAAAGCGTTTCACAGCATTGTAAAGTAAAGGCCCTACAGTAATATAGAGGACCCCCCCCAACCACTTGGCCCCCACCAGGTTGGTTCTTGGCTTGGGGGTTGTTTCCCCGGACCCGGGCCTGAAAGCTTAATGTTTTGCCTATTTCCTAATTCTGCTTTTAAATACCCAGGAACCAGAGGTAGACATCTAGTCTTAAAGAAGATAGTGATTGGCCTTTCCTTCACTGTGAATACGTACACAGTCCTGGGCTTGAAGACTTGACCTTTTGATCTTGAATCTGAAATTCCGAACTGGGACAGATAATTTAGGTTTAATTTAAAGCATTTAATCCTTTGGGTCTTGGAGTTTCTGAAAGCTTGGTCTGTTTCTTGTTTCAGAATTGTGACATTTATTGTGCACAGCCTGCAAGAATTGCCATGATTTAAGAAAAAAAAAAATGGTAATGTCTGTATCAAAGCCCCTCTTCAAATGCTTCTTTTGAAGATTACTGACACAAACTGCAAACACTTCCTCTGTCGGCTGTTTTGCTGATACAAAACTTCCCAGGCTTTCTCGTGCTCTCTGAATTATTTGCATCTCTAAGCGACGACGTGCACATGGATGCAAAACAGCCATCTGGCTGCAATCTTGCAAAGCGGAAATGCACATGTTCGAATATATCATTGTGAGAATTGTTTGTGTCTCTGTGTGTTTTTCTGGGTTTACACACAATGGCCTCCATTTGTGTGAAAATGCCTGCGGCTGCAAATTTTTGCCTTGCAGTGAAATCCACAGTCTGCATTTAGAATCTCAAACATTAGCCTGCTGTTTCCTTGTCCTTCATTGTTAGAAACAACATCTGTCTGCATGTACAACAGAGAGAAATGTAGTCACGATGCTGATAATTTAATCCCTTTCAGTCATAAATGCTGCCGTTTGGAGCAGACTCCAGCGACTGTAGGTCTCTCGTGCTCTCCCTGCTTGGCGGTTTAGTCTGAGTGTTTGGAGTCTGTATTCTAGGGCCTGCACACTCAGACTGTAATTAACAGTTTACATTTGCTGTTTATGTT